TCAGGTGTTCCCGTTCCGGCGTAGTCTAGTGGCTAGGATACCTGGCTCTCACCCAGGAGGCCCGGGTTCGATTCCCGGCGTCGGAACGGCTGGGTCTCATGGTGTAACGGTTAGCACTCTGGAATCTGAATCCAGCAATCCAAGTTCAAATCTCGGTGAGACCTCCTTTTAATGAGCTCATTTGAGCTATTTGGTGCCGATGCGGATATAAAGGAAATGTCTTTCAGGTGTTCCCGTTCCGGCGTAGTCCACTTCCGGCCGCCGAAGCGAAAGGACGTGTGAGCATGAGCTCCGTCGGAGCGGGTTCAGCGGCCGCTGGCCGCGGTAACAGGAACATGGCTTCTGCCGAACAAGACTACCAAGTTATCCTGCCAACGCTTTCAACAGGTACAGTCGGGAGCAAAAGTTTGCGGGGCACGGGAGCGCGCGCCGAAATGCATCGCCGCGCCGTGCAACCGCGCTCCGCCGCATTAAAAAGCCACGCTTTGCGCATGCGCGCCCTTCGTACTGGCAGTCATGTCTCTTTCGCTCGTTTCTGTCCGACTCATTCCTGATAACCGGAGTCGGCGCCAAGGGCGTAAGTTGCCGTTTCGTTGGCTGTCATGCCTCGCGTCCTCTTCAGCTGCCTCAGCAGCAGCGCTGGGTGACGGAGCGCCTGGTTACCCCCCTCCCCCTCTTCCCCCTGCGCGACCTCCTCGCCAAAGCGCGGCGGCTGAGCAACAGGGCTGAGACGGCTGAAGCAGACGCACAGCATGACACCCAGCGAAGCGCTAACTCGCGCCCCCTCGCGCCGACTCCTGTTATCAGGAGTGCGTCGAAAAGAAACGAGCAAAAGAGACATGATTGCGAGCACGAAAGAAGCGCATGCGCAAAGCGCGTCTCCTTAATGCGGCGGCGCGCCGTCGGACGGCGCGGCATTAAGTTGCCGTTTCGTTGGCTGTCATGCCTCGCGTCCTCTTCAGCTGCCTCAGCAGCCGCGCTGGGTGACGGAGCGCCTGGTTACCCCCCCTCCCCCTCTTCCCCCTGCGCGACCTCCACGACAAAGCGCGGCGGCTGAGCAACAGGGCTGAGACGGCTGAAGCAGACGCACAGCATGACACCCAGCGAAGCGCTAACTCGCGCCCCCTCGCGCCGACTCCTGTTATCAGGAGTGCGTCGAAAAGAAACGAGCAAAAGAGACATGATTGCGAGCACGAAAGACGCGCATGCGCAAAGCGCGTCTCCTTAATGCGGCGGCGCGCCGTCGGACGGCGCGGCAATGCATTTCGGCGCGCGCTCCCGTGCCCCGCAAACTTTTGCTCCGGACTGTACAACAATTTTGAATACTGCTTTTTTGCACACCGATGTGACCATGAGGCCATACCGTCTGGAACATTTTCGTGACGCCCTGGTTGGCCTGGCGCTGCTCCCCGAGGTGGCCGCCTTGGGGGCGTACCAGTACAACCACGTTTGGGCCGTCACTTTCAAGAGTGTCGAGGGCAAGAAAAAACTGCTCGCCGCCGGGGACTTCACAGTCAAGGAAAGACGGTGCGTCGTTGTCGACCCAAGCAACCAGGACACGCGGCTGAAGCTCCACTGGCTGCTGCACCACGTCCCGGACGACGAAGTGCGAGTGGCCTTGGCGCCCTACGGAAAGGTGACGGAAGTCGCCAGAGACATGTGGCGGGCCCAGGGGTACGCCGGCATGTTGTCCACGACGCGCTCGGTGTCCATCAGGCTCAAGGCCGGACTCACCGTGGACTCCCTCCCTCATCAGCTGCGCGTCGCTGGGGACCTGGCGCTCGTGGTTGTACCGGGCAGGGCGCCGCTGTGCTTCCGGTGCCGAGGGAAAGGCCACATTCGTCGAGAGTGTCGTGTGCCGCGTTGTGCTCTCTGTCGGCGCTTCGGCCACGAAGACAGCCAGTGCATAAGGACGTACGCTAGCGTCACGGGGCCCGTGGGGAATGAGGACACGTCCGAGCTACTCATGGATGTGGTCGAGTCCCAAAAAGCAGCCGGCGGCGAAGGTGGCGAGCCTCCCACAGAGGCGACGCCCACCGAGCTTTCCGCCGGGGGCAGAGCCGACAGCGGGAGCGACGGTGAGCGACGCCGTCAGCCTGAGGCGCTGCCTGTGGACGGTACCTCTGCTTCGAAAGGTGTCATAGAGACCGCAGTTTCGGCTGTGGTGGCGACGCCCAGCGAGGAGTCGGAAGCCATGAGTGTCGGGGAGGCAGGCTCCACGGCGCAGTCCCCAAGCGGGCTCGCGAAGACGTCGACTAAGGTATAATCGTAAGTGCGGTCCTTCCCGAGGAACCGCCCCGAAAAGCGACTCCTGTGCGTCGGGCAAGCGTCAAGCCTAAGCCCAACATCCGTCCGGAGAGGCGATCACCGGCGACACCGCCCCCGAAGGTGCAATAACCAGTTTTTTGTTGGGCACCGCTTCTCGGACTGGAAACCGACAGGACTTTGAGGGGACGATGTCCTCGTGCCGCCGCTTTGTGGCCCGAACTTTCGGCGAACTCTCTCGTCGGACCCACCGGGCGGCACACCGGGACTGTGAGTCTGCCGTCGTTTTTCAGCGACTTGAGCTGTGCACCATGCGGCCCGTTTGATCTAGTTTTTTATGGCAGTAAGCCTTGAGACAGCGCTTCGCGTCGGTACGCTGAACGTGCGAGGCCTGGGAGCAAGGCGGCGGCAGTACCAGCTGAGCCGCCTTTTCCTGGAAAACGACCTTGACGTAGTCGCTGTCCAAGAGACAAAGGTGGAAGGCGAAGAGCAGACGGACCGCATGGTGCAACCTTTCAGATCACGATACAATGTATGTGTGTGCCACTCCGTTGGTACATCAGGCGGTTGTGCTCTTTTTTTGCGTAATTCTTTGGGAATTGCAGAAGAAACAGTGATTGTCTGTGAATCAGGTCGCTTGATTGTTTGTGATTTTTCTTTTTCGGGGTTGCTGTGGCGAGCTATCTGCGTTTATGCGCCAAACCGGGAGAGTGATAGGAGAATTTTTTTCGAACGCGTTGAATCTTATCTAAACTGTGAAAGATTTGTTATTTTTTTTTTGTGATTTTAACTGCGTCTGCGCTATAGAAGACAGGGCGCGACAGCTGCCGCTTCGGGACCAAAGTGCTTTATTTTTGAACTCGTTAGTGCAGGAGTGCAATTTAGAGGACGTCGGGTTTGTTTTGTCGAAGGCACATTTTCCCCAGTTTACACACTTCCAACGCGAGAGTCATGCGAGGCTAGACAGAGCGTATATCTCCGCAGCCCTGGTTCCATTGTGCAAAAATTACGAAGTGAAACACGTTTCTTTCAGTGATCATAGCCTGGTAATTTTTTTTATCGGATCAAAGGAAACAAAATCGCAGTTCAACTGGGAATTGTGGAAATTTAATGATAAGCTACTGAGAGATGAGATTTTTATAGACGGGGTAAAACAAAGCATTGGGAAATTGCTGGAAGCTGAGTCGGGAAATGCTGTTGAACTGTGGGAGCACTTTAAAGACGAAGTCAAAATTAACGCGATTCAAAGATCGTGTATCTTACGCCGCCAGGAAAAGCAAAAAGAAAAAGAGCTACAGTGTCAGTTAGATTTCCTTTTAAGCGTCGAATGTGCAACACCCGGAAAGTTTACGAGGGAAATAAAAGAAGTTAAAAGTAAACTGGAGCTTATCGATATCGAAAAATATAGAGGAGCCGTGATAAGAGCCCGCGCCGAACGTCTGTGGTTGGGTGAAACGCCGACGAAGCGTTCACTTGGGGACGAGAAAAGATATGCGACGCAAAATGAAATAAAAGAAATAGAGCATGGGGCCGTGGTGACTCGCGATAAAAAGACCATCGAACGCGCTTTCGTGGAATATTACCAAGATCTTTTGGATCGCCGCAGACACGTGGAAGAAGGATTTGCCAGCGTCCTTTTGCCCCTCATGCCAAAATTAGATGATGAAATTAAAGCCGGCCTTGAGGCACCGATTAGCGTGAGAGAAATAGAGAAGGCTATTGATGAACTGACTCCAGGGAAATCGCCCGGTCCCGACGGCTTAGGTGCCGCCTTCTACAATGCTTTCAAAGCTGATGTGGCTGAGGTCCTGCACCGCACGATAACGGAGGCGTACGATAGAAAAGCAGTGCCTCCATCCTTCCGGAAAACGCATATAGTATTAATCCCCAAAAGTGATGATCCCGCGAAACTGTTGTCTGTTAAGTCCTACCGTCCCATTAGCCTAACAAACGTAGACTATAAAATCGTCATGAAGGTCTTAGCGGGAAGGCTGCAAGGTGTAATAAAGTCTATCGTCGGACCCCATCAAACATGTGGCATCAAGGGGCGAACGATTGCAACTAACATACACGTAGCAAGAAGTATCTTGGAATGTTGTGATGCTTTCGAAGGTCGCGTAGCTATGTTGCAGCTTGATTTGGAAAAGGCGTTCGATAGAGTAGCACATGACGTCCTTTTTTGTATTTTAGAGCACGTGAACGTTGGGTCTTTATTGTTGGAATGGGTTAAAATGTCCATCGCGGAGTGTTATGCGAGTGTGATTGTTAATAAGAAAGTTACAGAAAGTTTTCAAGTCCTCTCCTCGGTACGGCAAGGGTGCCCATTATCGCCATTGTTGTTTGCTCTCTATTTAGAGCCTTTTTGTTTAAAACTCCTTTTTAATGAAAGAATACGCGGTTTTAGGTTGTTGTCGAGCGAAGTCAAGATACTTTCGTACGCAGACGACATTGCCGTCTTCTGCGAAGACAAAGAAAGTGTTTGCGAGGTAGTCAAAGAAGCACTTAATTTTTGTAAATTTTCGGGCAGTGTTATCAATTGGGATAAATGCGTGGGCTTCTGGCATGGTAGCTGGGAAAGTACACCAGCTGTTTTTGAAAGAGTTACTTGGTCTTGTTTGCCGGGCAGGTACCTCGGAGTGCCGCTTGAGCACTACCGCGATTCTACTGATTATTGGAGGGAAGAAGTCGAGAGGGCTCGGGATAAAACGGCAAAGTTGGGGGGTCTAAATCTTTCAATGTTTGCCCGCTCCACAGTTTGTAATTTGTTTATCGTTGCTAAAGTCTGGTACGTGCTCCAGGCTTTGTGTATGTCTAGAATAAGCGTTCAAAAGTTTCACCGAGTGTTCGCGATTTTTGTGTGGGGGTCGGTATGGGAGCGCACCGGTCGTACAAATTTGTTCCGCTCTGTGAAAAGTGGCGGGCAAGGCCTGGCTCATCTATTTCTGCGGCAAGTGGTGTCAAGATTTATGTTCCTGCGGGATCAGGGGGATCCTTTTCTGCGGACTGTATTACAAGTTAGGCTCCGTAAGGCACTGTCTGAGTTTGTTGTGTCCTCGAGTGATGTCAGATGTACGCGGGTTCGAGGTTTCCTGCGCGAAGTGATTTTGGCTTTCCATTTTCTCAAGGTTCGATTTTCGTTGGAGTACTTAAGCGAAGTTACACGAAAGCGCCTGTACAAAGACTTAGTCGAGGTGGTCTTCCCTGTGCCTTTGTATCGGTCTCTTTTCTGTGAGGGCCCGGGCGAGGATGTCCTTAAAAGAGTTAAACGGATGCCAGTAAGGCCAGCCGTGAAGTCTTTCCTTTTTCAGCTGCACACCGGCACGCTTCCCGTTAAGCCATGGCTTGAAGAAAAAGGCATTTTTGTTCCTTGGTCGATTAACTGCCTCTTGTGCCGGAAACCCGAGACTATCGATCATATTTTCTTGGATTGCTGGGATGCGGTATTCCACTGGGACATTATGCAGCGTACTTTAAAAAAGAGTCTCCCAGTGTCATCCTATGGCATCCGTTTTTTTCCCGTAGAAAATGAAGGGGGCGTTCCCTACGACATGTTTATGGCCTTGGCCCTGCACAGCATGTGGAAATCGAGGATGGCTGTGCGACACGCTGACGTCGATGCTCGCCCCGTGCGGGATTACTTTATAGAGCATATTGTTCACTTAAGAGAATTGTACAGAGCACAGAGTGAACAGCCTGACTGGATTCCAGTGTTAGACAGTCTTGTCGCCCTGAGAGTCTTTTAAACCATGTGCGCCGGCTAGGCCGAGCCGGATGCTTTTAACCTTCCAATTTTTGTGCGATTGTTTAACCACGTTTATGTGCCAAGCCGGCAATAAAGAAAAAAGAATCCGGCGTGGTCTAGTGGCTAGAATACCTGGCTTTCACCCAGGAGGCCCGGGTTCGATTCCCGGCATCGGAAGGGCTGGGTCTCATGGTGTAACGGTTAGCACTCTGGACTCTGGATCCAGCAATCCGAGTCCAAATCTCGGTGAGACCTCTTTTTTATGAGCTCATTTGAGCTACTTGGTGCCGATGCGGATATATAGCAAATGTATTTTATGGGTTCTTGTTCCGGCGTGGTCTAGTGGCTAGGATACCTGGCTTTCACCCAGGAGGCCCGGGTTCGATTCCCGGCGTCGGAAGGGCTGGGTCTCATGGTGTAACGGTTAGCACTCTGGACTCTGAATCCAGCAATCCGAGTCCAAATCTCGGTGAGACCTCTTTTTTATGAGCTCATTTGAGCTATTTGGTGCCGATGCGGATATATAGCAAATGTGTTTTAGGTGTTCTTGTTCCGGCGTGGTCTAGTGGCTAGGATACCTGGCTTTCACCCAGGAGGCCCGGGTTCGATTCCCGGCGTCGGAAGGGCTGGGTCTCATGGTGTAACGGTTAGCACTCTGGACTCTGAATCCAGCAATCCGAGTCCAAATCTCGGTGAGACCTCTTTTTTATGAGCTCATTTAAGCTATTTGGTGCCGATGCGGATATATAGCAAATGTATTTTAGGTGTTCTTGTTCCGGCGTGGTCTAGTGGGGGATTCGGCTTCCGGTGCTCGCCGCGCTCGGACGCACGGATGGCTGGCTCCAGCGGAGCTGTGACAACGGCCCTTTCGGGCCGTGGTTTTGCTACGTCTGATATTCCCCAGGACTACCGTATTATTCTGCCACCCCTGCCAACAGGTACCATCGTGCGCACCACTGTTTTTTGCACTGTGATGTCTCGGGAAGGCCATACAAGATTGGTGACTTCAAGTCAGGGCTCCAGAGCATCGGAGTCCTTCAAGACCTCAAGGCGTTCGGCTCTTACCAAATGAACCACGTCTGGATTGCTACCTTCCCCTCGCTGGCTTCAAAGCAGAAGATGCAAGACGCACAAGAACTACGAGTCAAGGGTAAGCGCTGTCTGGTGCTAGACCCTAACAAGGCCGAGGTGCGGTTAAAATTGCACTGGGTGCCGTGCGACGTCCCGGACGACACCATCCGGAGAGCTCTCGAGCAATATATCAGGGTCGAGGGCGTCACTCGAGAAGGCTGGCAGAAAGAGGGGTTTCAGGGAGTTGAATCAACTACGAGAGTGGTGAGCCTCAAGCTCAAAGAAGGCGTCACTTTGGATAGGCTCCCACACCAGCTGCGTCTTCCACATGGCTCGGTGCTCGTCGCTGCGCCCGGGCGCGCCCCAATGTGTCTGCGATGTCGAAGGACTGGACACGTCCGACGTGAGTGTAAGACGCCACGATGCGAACTGTGTCGACGCTTTGGCCATGAAAAGGACGACTGCGTCAGGACCTATGCAACGGTCGCAGACGGCACGGGCGGCATCGACGAGTTCGAGCATCTTATGGACGAGGAAGAAGTGGAAATTACCGCTGGCGGCACACCGACGGCTAGTGGTAACTTCACCGAGCCAAGCGCCTTCAACAGGGCTGCCAATGAAGATACCGCGCCTGCCACGCCCCCCCACGCTCCAAGACTACCCACTGTTATCGGCTACCTCAAAGGCAGACGTAAACGGCGGCAGCACGGAAGTCAGCGCTTCCGTCAAGGCTGCGTCACCACGTCAGGTGGGTGAGCCCAACGGCGACTACGGGGGCACCGAGGTGGAGATGCAAGCTACACCGGACGATAAGGACCATGCCAACTTGGAGCCATCGGAAAAAGAGGATTGGGCAAGCACAGAGGAGGAAGGCCAAGGGCTGCACGAACAGCGCCTCAAGATGAAGCAGCCAAGCCAGAGACGTTTTCGATACAACCCCAAGCCTCGGATCCTGCCGTACGCCCGCCGGCAGAAAGACTCTGTATAGGTTCGCTTTATTTGCCCTCTGCTGCATGTTATAGGGGCTTGGTGGTTGGTTGGGTGTAATGCCACACGTTAGAAGAGCGGCCAAGGAGGCACAAAAAGCTTGCAAAATTTAGTTTAAAAATAATTACGCTTAATTGCGTTAGCTTGATAGCCCAAAAAAGGAAGCAATGGCTACTCAACACGCTTTTAGCGGAAAGAGTTCAGGTGGCCTAGCTACAAGAAACTAAGTTAACCACCGAACATGTAAAGCAGGCTGTTCTATTCTTCGAAAAACACTTTGAATTTCGTTATGCCCATGCAATTTCGCATAGTGCATGGCACGGCGATATTAATTCGCAAGCGAAGCGGGATTGTGCTCTTTCCGGAATGGGAGACAGATCAAAGTGGGAGAATTTGCGCGGTTGATGGGGTTTACAATAATGAAGCATTACGATTAATTTCTGTGCATGCGCCGAATCTCGCAGTAGAAAGAAAACTATTTTTCAATCAGCTCAGACAATACGTGAACACCCCGGCGCAGACTATACTCGGAGGAGACTTCAACTGCGTCACTCGAGCAAACGACTCCTCGAAGGGACTCCGACAGGATTCGAGTCTGACGGAACTAAAGAAGCTAATCCGAGACTTTGATTTACAAGACGTAACGGAATTTGTAGAAGCACCTGCTCCCGGCTACACACATTGGCAAGGCGATTGTCACTCGCGCCTGGACCGAATATATGCTTCGAGTCGCTTAGCAGTAGATGCGGCCAGCTATCAGGTTAAGCCGTTAGCTTTCTCCGATCATGCCATAGTTGCGGCGCAGATAAGAAAGGTAAAAGAAAAGCCAAATCGCGACTCATGCTGGAAAAGTTGGAAGCTAAACGAAAATGCTCTCGAGGAGGAGGGGCTGCAGCGCGCAGTTAGAAAACTTATCATAGATAAAGGGGAAGGAAACAACACAACTGCCGTACACTGGGAGCTGCTAAAAGAAGAGATAAAAATGTGCATTATAGCCTTTTGCCAAGAAAAGTCTCGGGAAAGGAAGGCCGTTAAGAGGGACGTGACCAAGGCGCTGCAAACTCTAATTCGAGAAGAAAATAGGACGCCCGGTGTGTTTACAGCTGATATTCGAGAATGTAAATCCCAACTGCTCGGAATACTAGAGGAGGAGTATCGCGGAGCAATGGTCAGATCACGATTACGGACGCTAGGGCGTTCTGAAGACCCTACGAAAATCTTTAAAACGCGTGAGCGCGAACGCGCCAGCCGCAACCAAATTAATCAGCTTCAAAGTAAAGGGAACACCATCTCCGACCCCGCAAAAATAGAACGAGAGCTGGTCACCTTTTTCAGCAGCATTTTTGGTAAACAGGGGAACCTCAACAGGCAAGCAATAAAACGTGTGCTGGATATCATGCCACAGGTACCAGAGACAACAACTGAATTCCTGAACAGGCCTATCAGCGAGTCAGAAGTACGAAGTGCTATTAAGGAGCTAACACCGAACAAATCGCCGGGTGTAGACGGTCTGGGCGCAGCTTTTTACAAAATCTTTTCAGAAGAACTAGTCCCCATTTGAACGCAAGTTTACGGAGACGTGTATAAAAGAAAGCTCCTCCCGCCTTCCATGAGACAGACAGTGACGGTACTAATTCCAAAACGGAAGTGTAGGGGCTCCATTGCAAGTAGTGAAGACTTTAGGCCGATAAGCCTGTTAACAACAGATTATAAGATCCTGGCAAAAATTTTAGCAAAACGCCTGGAAACAGCTTACCAAACCCTGGTTGGAAATCATCAAACGTATGGCTTCAAGAACAGGTCAATATTCGCAAACTTGCACACAATGAGAGTTATAACAGAAACGGCGGAAGCCATGGAACGTCCCACGGCCGTCCTACAAATAGACTTAAAAAAAGCATTCGACAAAGTGAACCATACTTTTTTATTCTCCTTACTAGAGCAATGCGGAACGGGATAGTTTTAGTGAATTTTCTTAAAATATGCTATCGGGACATAAGTACAAGACTCTTGGTCAACGGGCGCAGGTCGTGTAGCATCCCCGTTAAGTCGTCCGTACGGCAAGGTTGCCCAATGTCGCCTATTTTATTCGCCATTTACCTTGAACCGCTGTGCAAAGCAATCTTAAATGACCACAGCATAAGGGGAGCTTGCCTGGGCACAATGTCAGTTAAACTGTTGGCATACGCAGATGATGTGACACTGATTGGGCAATCGCAAGAGGAGGTGAGGAAGGCAGTAGAACATGTCAGTCAGTTTTGTGACGTTTCAGGAGCGAAAATGAACCCAACAAAATCGGTCGGGACCTGGCTGGGACCATGGCCATCCAAGCCAGAACTATTCTTGGGTATAGCGTGGTCAACACACATCTCCAACTACTTAGGGGTCGGATTGGGCAGCACGCGCGCGCAGCTCAGGACAGGCGTAGATGGCATACATTTGAACACCTTGAGGGCGAAGCTTCCAGAATGGTGGGGGAGGTACGTACCACTTTTGAATAGAGCGTATGTCAGCAATGCAGTGTTTTTTTCAACCGTTTGGTATTCAGCGCAAGCGGTGCCGTGTAGGCAGCTCGATGTACAGAAAGTGCATAGATTCTGTGCAACGTTTGTCTGGGGTTCTGGTTTTGAAAGAATGCGCCGGAGCAACCTTTTCATAAGTAGGCAAAAAGGAGGACTCGGATTAGTAAACTTAGAAATAAAACTAAAAGTGCAGCGGTTTCTTGTTTTCCGAAACCGAGACAAAACTCCCGCGCTGGTGGCGGCGTTCCGAGAGCTTGGTGGACACTACCTTGCTCCCTGGATGAAAGAAACAGACGGCGCTCCAAAGAAGTGCTCGACGCTTCTGAACGCTTCTCATGGGAATATCTAAACAAAGTAAAGAGGAGACGTCTTTATTGGGATACTCTAGACCTCGTAATGCCGCCTCCAATGTATCGCCAAATGTTCCCCGACGCCGAAAGATCGGACGTGTTTGA